CCTGGCCGCGGTGCAGGAGTACCTGTCCGCCGAGATCCTGGAACTGGCCGGCAACGCCGCCCGGGACAACAAGAAGACCCGCATCATCCCCCGGCACCTGCAGCTGGCCATCCACAACGACGAGGAGCTGAACAAGCTGCTGGGAGGGGTGACCATCGCCCAGGCCGTGCTGCTCCCCAAGAAGACCCACAGCTCCCAAAAATGAGACCCCACTTTGGGCATTGGGGGGGGGGATTTAAACTCTGACTGCTCCCAGCAATACAAGGGTTAATGCACTTTACTGTTCAGATGTGGAAACTTCAACCCAAGCAATCTGGGAAAGTCTGGGGGAGGGGGGTCGCCCTGTGTACCCCCCCACCCGCATTTTTAAGGTTCACCCCATGTGGGGTATAGTGTGTCCCCCATTGTTGTTTCGCCAGGTCGGGGGGGCAGGTATTGCACCTTTCTTCCACGAGGGTTCAGCGCTACTTTGTATTTAGGGTGCAAGCAGAGCGATGAAACCTCCGTCAATGCCAAGTGACCGCGTTGCCATGAGAACAGCTGACTGGGTCCCAGCTGTCATTTCTCATTGGTTTCCCTCCCTGGGACGGGGAAAGTTCTTATTTAGGGACATAAAGGTTCATTCCGCCTTTTGCAAAAAATGTATAAATGCGTCAACATCGATTTACAAACATAAGAAGTCCATTTATTCCACTTTTTTATATCGAATTTTGGCAATAGAGCCGGCAGAGCGTCTGTGTGTCATGGGAGCAATGCTCGGGCTCCTGCAGACTATTCCTCCAGCACCGGTATCCTCTGTACGGACATTCGGCTATGGGGCCGGAGGAAGCAATCAATGGACTACAAGTGGGGTGGCCGATGGGCTCCATTGAGGTTTGCCAGTCTCTCTGCTGTGGTGGCAGATGGGTCATGTAGTACTTTCATTGGCAGTTCCCGGTGAATGAGCGGTGATGATTGGGGGGCGAGGTCTCTCACTTCTCTGTAGCGTTCATATGCAGACAAGATACTGCCGGGGAAGAAGAACAATAAAGGGGAGGGGGCTGGGAAAGGTGGAATTAGCCATTAAGTCAGTGGTAGGCTACTCAGACCCTCCAGGTCTTATGGAACTACAAGTCCCATGAGGCATTGCAAAACTGATAGCCACAGGCCTGACTCTCAGAGGCATTTGGAATTTGTAGTTAAAGCGCATCTGGGGGGCCGGAGTTGCCCCCCCTTGCTTAAAAGATATCCTATAGGGGGAAAACCAAACTTGCATATGGTACCTACCCTTACACGTACACAGGGGCGTAACTAGAAATCACAGGGCCTCTTAGCAAAATGTTGTATGGGGCCCTGTGATTTCTAGTTAGGCCCCTTGCAGAGCCCACCTGAGATCCCACACAGCCCACCTGAGAGTGACACTGCAGAGCCCACCGTAGACTCTCTATGGTGGGCTCTGCAGGGTCTCAGGTGGGTTGGTCACACCCCTGCACACCTCTTACCTGTCAGCTTTGTTCCGCTGTTAGCCTCCTCTACCTGCAGGCTCCTCCTCCTCTGCTGCCGACGCCAGGCCCATACCGGCCGCCTGGATCGCTATGGCCATAGTTCCCCCACTGCACCTATATACCTCCTTTTACCTACTGCCAGAGGATGCCCAACAAATACCCCGTGCTTCCAGGGCCTCTTGTTCAGCCTCCAATCACCAGCCTTGAGCATGGTCACGTGATCGGGGCAGGTTGTTGACCCATTTGCAAGCTTTGACTTGCAGGGGAATGTCAGGGGCTCCAGCATAGATCCCGTACGAGGCAGAGGTAAGTGCAGGGTCCCTTTAAGGCAGGAAAAGGGTGCACACTGCTTATGAAGTGTAATAAAGCTGATCTTTAAAAAAAAAAAAAAACTTTTAATCATCAATGCGACTAAGAACTAACTGTGAACGCAGTCCTGGGATTTTGTTTTTGTGTGACGAGGGGTCGCACTACATGGAATCTAACTCTACTTAGGCTGAAACTGTTACCTGATTTTATTTTGTCCTGCTGTGACGATGGGGTGTGTTAATAAATCGTTCGTAGAGCAAAAAGCTCTGCGAATATCTAAGTTTTAGATTCACTGCACATTATGGCCACTAGATGGAGCCGAGGAGCACAGGGGTTTCCTATGGCCAGTAGATGGGGCCGAGGAGCACAGGGGTTTCCTATGGCCACTAGATGGAGCCGAGGAGCACAGGGGTTTCCTATGGCCACTAGATGGAGCTGAGGAGCCAATTCGGAGAGAAGTGACAATTCAGGACCGATCAGCTGTTCCAGGGCAGATCGGTTCTATCTCCTGCACATACCATCTGCGATGCCAATCTGCCCTGAAACAGCTGAGAAAGTGTTGGGATTTTTCTCCTTTTGCCGGTCACACATTCCACCGCCGAAAAAGTGGGCGTGATTACGTAAAAATGTGTGACCACGTGACTGGTCACACATTCCAACCCAGTCACAATCTTTAATAGAACAGGGGTCTGCATACAAATACAGCCTGCTTAGAGATGCCCACGCCTCCAGACTGACCTCCACCCATCAGTACATTATGATATTTGCATAACTCCTCCCACAGGCCAGCCCACTGCTTGCATCAGGGCTGAAGGCTCTTAAGTGGAGTACTGGAGCAGGGTGCTGTGATGGTTTCAGGAATCTATGTACTGGCTTTAAATGCCCCCCACCCCCCGAGGGGGCGCGTCATCATGGGCTGGGCTCACAGTATTCCAGGACTGAGCGGCGCTTACCCCTGGCCACTGCTGGAGGAAGAAGAGGACGTGACGTCACTGAATGGGCTAGATTTGAAAATGAGAGAAGCTGATTGGTTGCCATGCACAACGGCTCCAGATTTTGTCTGATCCAGTATTGATAAATTCCCATCATATGGTAGTGCGAATAGGAACATTGGTGAGGATTTCTGTCATTGCCTGTATCCCCATGACAGAGATTTACCTTCACTTCCTGTCCAAGTGCTGAACCTCAGAGCAGAGAGCTGTACGGGACACTCCTGATACATTGTAACACTTTCCCGCTCCGTCTGCACCGGATGTACTTTGTTTCTCTTGTTTAGTTTTCGAATCTCCTGATCTGTTCCTCAGCGGGTGACAGCTGGAATCTGATTGGCTGATCCGCAATAACAGCTTCTTCCCCCATCTGTACACATTGTTATATAATCCCTCCTCGTAGCCCCGCCTACTTCAATATAGTACCGCCCGCCCACTCCAGATGAGTGACACATTTCCCTCCCACCCTACAAGTTAACCCCTTCCCCGCCACACTGTCCTTGTTGTTATCTCTGCACCCATTTACACATCTGATGTAGGAGATGGCTGAGTGCAGAGCTGGGAGTCCCCCCGATCCTCCTCTGCCCGCCGGTTGTATTATAGATGTCCGTGTCTGATCTCCCCCATTGTGTCGCTGTACATTGCACCGACCAACGGAGCACAGCGCCCCCTGGAGGCACAGCGCCCCCTGCAGTCACAGCGAGCACAGCGCCCCCTGCAGTCACAGCGAGCTCAGCGCCCCCTGCAGTCACAGCGAGCACAGCGCCCTCTGCAGTCACAGCGAGCACAGCGCCCCCTGGAGGCACAGCGAGCTCAGCGCCCCCTGGAGGCACAGCGAGCTCAGCGCCCCCTGCAGTCACAGCGAGCTCAGCGCCCCCTGCAGTCACAGCGAGCTCAGCGCCCCCTGCAGTCACAGCGAGCTCAGCGCCCCCTGCAGTCACAGCGAGCTCAGCGCCCCCTGCAGTCACAGCGAGCTCAGCGCCCCCTGCAGTCACAGCGAGCTCAGCGCCCCCTGCAGTCACAGCGAGCTCAGCGCCCCCTGCAGTCACAGCGAGCTCAGCGCCCCCTGCAGTCACAGCGAGCTCAGCGCCCCCTGCAGTCACAGCGAGCTCAGCTTGAGTGACACATTTCCCTCCCACCCTACAAGTTAACCCCTTCCCCGCCACACTGTCCTTGTTGTTATCTCTGCACCCATTTACACATCTGATGTAGGAGATGGCTGAGTGCAGAGCTGGGAGTCCCCCCGATCCTCCTCTGCCCGCCGGTTGTATTATAGATGTCCGTGTCTGATCTCCCCCATTGTGTCGCTGTACATTGCACCGACCAACGGAGCACAGCGCCCCCTGGAGGCACAGCGCCCCCTGCAGTCACAGCGAGCTCAGAGCAGTAACGGACCAGAGATGTGTTGGCGCTAAAAAATAAACAGAAGAGGAATTCAAAATCTGCCACATTCACTCATCTCTGCCCACATTCACTCATCTCTGCCCACATTCACATAATCTCTGCCCACATTCACATCATCTCTGCCCACATTTACTCATCTCCGCCCACATTCACTCATCTCTGCCCACATTCACTCATCTCTGCCCACATTCACTCATCTCTGCCCACATTCACTCATCTCTGCCCACATTCACATTATCTCTGCCCACATTCACATTATCTCTGCCCACATTCACTCATCTCTGCCCACATTCACTCATCTCTGCCCGCATTCACTGATTATCTCTGCCCACATTCACTCATCTCTGCCCACATTCACTCATTATCTCAGCTCACATTCACTCATCATCTCTGCCCACATTCATTCATCATCTTAGTTCACATTCACCCATTATCTCTGGCCACATTCACTTTTCATCCCTGCTCTCATTCACACATCATGTCTGCCACAGTGATCCCTATATCTGAGAATATTGATGTATAATAGTTCTAGTGAGGATTGATCAATATTTCCCCTTTTCTCAATAGAGCTTATATGTCAATAGCCTCCGGTATTGATCTCTTCTCACTATAGCTATAATATGTCAATAGGATAATGATAATGGGAATCGTCTAAATCAATACCTGACAATATTCATATAAAAGCTATATTGAGAAGAGATCAAAACTTTATATTGATATATAAGAGCTATATCAAGAAAAGGCCAAGTATTGATCCATTCTCAGCATACCTATTATATATCAATATTCTGAACTATTGATCTATTCCTAATATAATAATTCTGATATAATACTTATGAATATTGATATATAATAGGTATGCTGAGAATGGATCAATACTTGGCCTTTTCTTGATATAGCTCTTATGTAATTATCCTAAATTATTGATTTATGCCCATTACAGTTATTCTATTGATATTTTGAGAGTAATCAATACCTGAGAACATTAATATATAATCACTATAATAAGAATATATTAATATGTGAGAATACTGATATATAATAGGTATACTGAGTGAGAATAGATCAATATTTATCCTTTTCTTGGTATAGCTCTTATACATTAATATCAAGAATTGATCTATTCTCAATAAAGCCGTTTATGAATATCCTCAGGTATTGATCGATTCTTGATACAGCTATTATATATCAATATTCTTGGGTATTGATTTACAGTATTCCCATTATAGTTATCCTATTGACATGAGTAGATCAATACCTGAGAATATTCATAAATAGCCTTATTGAGAAGAGATCAATACTTGAATATTGCTATACATTCTCAATAAGGCTATTTATCAATATTCTCAGGTATTGATTTACTCCCATGTCAATAGAATAATTATAATGGGAATATTTTAAATCAATACCTGAGAATATTGATAGTCTTATTGAGAATAGATCAATACCTGAGAATAGATTCAAACTTGGGAATAGGTCAATAATGAATATATTGAGAATAAATCAATACTTGGATCCTTTCAAAATGCAGTCAATATATATCAATATTCTCAAGCATTGATCTCTTATTTATAGCTGTTATTTTTATATATTCCACAGACTTGATCTATTCTCTGTGTGGCCATTATCGATCAATATTCTCAAGTATTGATCTATTCTCAATATATTGTATATCAGCATTCTCAATACTTGCGTACATTGATATGGCAATATTGAGAATAGATTATGTCTTCACAATATATCAAAACAGCTATAAGAATATAATACCGGAGAATGTTAAAATCAATATTGATAAGCAAAGGCTTTATTGATAACTCATCTCTATATTGAGAACATATGGAGGGAATTCATCACAATCTGGAGCTGTTGCCCATAGTAACCACTCAGCTTCTATCATTCGTTCACAAAGCTGAACAGGAGAGAAGCTGATTGGTCAGTGCTCCGACTTTGATGAATTCCCATCAAGTTAGTTACCCAATAGCTCCGA